TTTTTTTTGTGAGAGTTCGATTTCGTATTAAAATTTTTGACATTGAAATGATGTTGAAATGGGCCAGCATGCATTATTTTTTAAGATAGAATTTTTTAAAAAATTAATGATAATGAAAAATATTTTCTATAAATTGATTCATGCAATTAAAAATATTTTTCACAATTTATCCAAACAACAAAACATATAAAATTTGTCATTAAAATGGTGAATTCTACAATAAGGCTAACCTTACTATAAGGTTAATTAAAATAATTTTTAAGAAAATAATAAAACCTTGCTTAACAGGTAAACAACGTAAATAATTTTTTAACTTATCCATTTTTTATTAACAAAATAGAAAAATTTTAAACTAGTTTATTTTATTTTAAATATTATATAATTTTTATTTTTATTCTATTTTTTGATTTAAAATATAAAAACATTATTATTTTTATGCTAACATTATATCTAACTAATTTAATTCAATTAAAATTACTATTATGACTTATTACATTAAACATCACACATTTATGTTTCTATTTTGAATATTCTTTAACCACTTTTATAATGTTTTACGTTAATTTTTACAACTTTATGTTAAGGTTCTTCAACAACTAAATTTTATCATAAATTTTTTTATTCTTATTATTATTTATGCATAAATTAAAATTTGTAAGCTGTAAATCACTTTAAACTTAAGATTAAAAATTTAACTGTTTAATTTCTCAAAAAATTATATTTATTTGACATAATTGAAATGTTACGTTAAATCGTACATATTTACGTCAATATTATTAACTTAAGATTAAATATTTAAATTTTTATTTTTTAGTTTAAAGTCTTTTATGACTTAAAAATTTTAATCTATACATGAATAATAGTAACGATAAAAAGAATTATGATGAAATTTAGTAGTTAAAAAACCTTAACTTAAAGTAGTAAGAATTAACGTAAAACATTTTAAAAGTGAAACAAATATTGTCAAAATATTAATGTAAATATGTGAAATTTAACGTAACGAGTTAATATAAATATAATTCTCGAGAAAATTAAACATTTAAATTTTTATCCTTGAGTTTAAAGTGTTTTATTGCCTAAAAATTTTAATCTATGCAAGAATAATAGTAAGGATAAAAAGAATTATAATGAAAATAAATAGTTGAAAAGTTATGACATATAACAGTAAGAATTAACGTAAAATATTATTAAAATGGAACAAGTATTGTCAAAATATTGATATAAATGTATGAGATTTAATATAACAAATCAATTATGCAAATAAATATAATTTTTCAAAAAATTATGCATTCAAATTTCTATTCTTGAGTTTATAGTGTTTTATGGCGTACAAATTTTAATCTATATGTTAATAATAGTGAGGATAAAAAAAATAATAGTGAAATTTAGTAGTTGAAAAATCTTAACGTAAAATGATAAGAATTAATGTAAAACATTATAAAGGTCAATAAAGTATTGTTAAAATATTAATGTAAGTATGTAAGATTTAACGTAACAAGTCAATTATATCATATAAAATAATTTTTAAAAAAATTAAACATTTAAATTTTTATTCTCAAGTTTAAAGTGTTTTACTACTTACAAATTTTAATCTATGCAGGAATAATAGTAAGGATAAAAAAAATTATGGTGAAAGTAAATAGTTCAAAAGTCATGATGTAAAGTAGTAAAAATTAATATAAAATATTATAAAAGTGAAACAAGTATTGTCAAAATATTAACGTAAATGTATGAGATGTAACATAATAAATCAATTATGTCAAAATAAATTTAATTCTTGTTAAAATTAAACATTTAATTTTTTTATTATTGAGCTAAAAGTATTTAATGGTTTATAAATGAATAATAATAAAAATTAAAATACTTAAAATTAAAATATTGATTTATAAAATAAAATTTTTATTATAATATTTATTTAAAAATTTCTCAATAGTTAATATTTCTTTACTCAAGAATATAATTATAAATGATTAATTTTCATAAAAATTTTGTCAATCTCTTTGTTAGTTTTTTCGCTTTTATTAATATTTTTGGTTAATTATTTCCTTTTGATTATCTTTTTTATTTTTTTTTATTTTGGGTTATTTACGTTTTTTTTAACATGTTTGTCAGGTAAACAAGTTGCCATTTTTTTAAAAGAAATTGTGAGAAATAGCCCTCCTCGTAAGCCCAATTCAAAAATATCTTTCAATATAATTTTAATTATTTTTATTTAATTTTTTATATGACTTGACAACAATGCCTTTTAAACAATTTTAGAGAAGTTAAAATGATTTCGATTTTCTCTATCCCGCAATCCAGAAAAAAATTTCAAAATTAAATATCAATTTCTCTCTCTTCTCAAATATTGTCTATCTCGTCATCCCAGTGAGCAAAAATGACATCAAGATATTTGTTTTAGGTTCTTAGGTTTATTGATTTATTTATAAAACCTCAAAGTTTATGGGTTAAAATTGATTATACAGATCTACAAATTAAAAAACTGTATGACTTTAGCAACTTGAACCTGACGGTGAGTAGACAAATCAATTAGTTATTAAGTATTATATTACTGGTTTTTAGGTATTACGCCTTTGATTTTTAATCATTGTGTAATTAATTTTTGATATTGCGTAACCAGTTTTTAAGTACTACGTAATTAATTTTTAAATAATGCTGAAAACTTAGTCAAAATGTTTTACTAACCAATCATGTAATGCCATATCAACTAGTCACTCAATACGTAAAAATTAGTTATACAATCTTCAAAAGTTAGTAATGCAATACTTAAAAACTAATTAGGTAATACTTAAAAATCATAAAAACTATTAATTTTATTTAACAAAATCAATAATTTCAAACAATATACCATATTTCATTAAACAATATAATGAACGAATATGTTTACTTGGTAAAGGATATTCAAAATATTTAAAGTTTTTTTTATATATCAAAAATCACTTCAAAATATTTAAAAATACTTAAAACGTTCAAAAGTTTTTTTTCGTATATCAAAAACCATCTCAAAATATTTAAAATACTTAAACAAAACTTTTTATAAAAAATACTTTATATATGAATAGTTTAACAAAAAAAATTCGTCAAATTTAAATAATTTAAATGTCAAATCTAAATTATTCAAATTCAAAATAACCTACAGCCCAACCAAAAGGATCCAAACCTAAAAGTAACCCAAATTTCCTTCAATCTGGCGTGATCTGACATTAATCGATGTCAAGTCTCAACTGTCACTTCCGTTCTTGTGCAAAATTTGAAACGCTTTGTTAAAAATTTCTAATTTAAATTTCATATGAAACAAGGTAAAAAAATATTTCCATGACCCTTTTACGGCCGAACCAACAAAACAAACAAATGTAGAGGCCACGGCTCACAAGGAAATCAACGGACCCTCAAGTAGCAACAAAATGAAAACCCAATTGCAGACCAGACACAACGGGAGACTCAAATCATTATGCTTTATAGTAGTCGTTGAACTGTTCAAAATTTACAAAGTTTCAGAAGGTGGCAACCAATTACGTGTTGTTCCTGGGGTTTCTTGCATCGTCACCCCGTTGAATTTGGAATGAAGTACGGGGTTCTTTTATCTATATTATAATTTGTACAGTTCTGGAATTCGATTGCTTTCATGATAGGGGAAAAGACATAGGAGGCTGAAAATGATCCCAAATGGAACTTCGACGGTATTCTTTTTGCTTGCGAGGAAGGCAATGCTCAACGGTCACATTTCCGCCTAGTGTCCCAACTGCTTGAAGCTTTCTTCGATTTCATCAGCTGCTTAATTTTATTATTGGTGTGTGACCCAACAAAAAATAATAATTTGTTCTTATTTGAAATGAAATTGCAAACAAATATCAAAGTCAGGAGATGAAACAATATGCATTGCTGGTGACCACGCAAAGCATGAATTATTATTCAATAAATGAGTTAAATAATTTTTTTTTCTCCCATATGTTTCACTCTCAGCTTGAATATATTCTCCTGATATTTGAGATGAGCAATATCCAGTACAATTTCTAACGCACTTTTGCCTAATCCTTGATCGCCAATATTTATCCAACTGGCACTTGCGTGGAAAGAAGCTACAAAGTGCCTCATCAAACTTGCTGTTGTTCGATTGTCGTGGAAAAGTGGAACAAGAAGTAAGAAGCTGATACGTTGTCGCTTAGGAAATCCATCCTTTTGCCCCTCTTCTGTCCTAATTACTTGCTTTAATCCATAGTCAAATTACCTTTTCTTTTTACAAAGGGATTGATGTATTGTCGTTTTATGCCGACGATCAGTGTAGTTCTATTTTATTCTTTCTACTTTCTTCTAGTATCCGTGTAAAATCAGTGTGTAACAATACCAAACTCAGCCGAATCTGAAAAACAAATACTAGAAACAGAGGCAAAGAAAAAAAGTAACAGAAAACGATGAGAGGCCTAACTGACTTGTCCCTGTGTGTTGATATAGAGAGAGGGAAATACCTTTATTGTTGGCACTTCTCACTCATAACTGTAAACAATTATTGTTTCTTATCAGATTCGCTGTAATGGGCCTTCACATTGCCTGCAGTTGTTTTGTAATTTCACAATGTTGCAGATTTGATCAATGAATTCCCCATGGCATCCTTACAGAACTTGGAAAGGCAGGGGACTTTGAAATGTGGGAAATATTGTGAAACCAGATCCATGAACCAAAGGCACATTCAGAAACTAACTTCTGAAAACTAGGAAAAAGACAGATTCAACACCTGTTTCCCATTTGTTTTTCAAGACAGGTTAAGTTAGGATATAATTGACACAAAAGTTGTCGGATCCATCTGTTTTATTCTTTCTAAATTCGATAAATCTCACCAGAAAATCAAAATGAATGCGCATATGTTCTTGTCAGTACATATGGTGCCTCAGATTTGTTATATATGGTTTAGGAAATGAAGAATTTGGAAGAAATCTGGAAATAAAATGGTCCTGTTTGTTTTTCTTTTTCAGATTCGAATTTACTTACTTGCTACAAGATTATAAAAAGATGGTGGTACAAGTTTTTTGAACAACAATAATTTTGTTCAGAACCATAGAGGTTTGGCTACGGTTTGTCTACAATGAATTCAATAGGATTTACAGGGATGCAACTGAAAGAATCTTGGTCTAAAATATGGGGAAAAAAATTATCAATCTCCTAACCTGCTATCTGTATCAAACCTCTGACATATTTTCACCATTTGTGCAGCAAAAACCCCCCCTTGATGTCTTTGATTCCATGCTTCTAACGGAAGAGCCACCAGGAAGAGAAGATTGGGAGGAGAAATGGGAAGTTGCCATGGACAAGGTACAATCACTCCAGGTCTTTTTCTTGGAAAACGATATACTCCTTGTACGAGTACAAGCGGAAGAGCAGACACCCTTTAAGTTGTGCAGGGCACAGCTACAGTTGCGATGATATGGTCTTCGCTCGATCTCAATATCTTGCATCACCAGGCTTCCTTCAAGCACACACCGGAGCATCATCTCAACCGCTGCTCCAGTGGCCATTCTCTCCTCTCTCCCTCTCTCTTCCACTCTTCTAAATCTCCTGGCTCTTTCTTCCTAAAGTATTTATATATAGAGAGAGTAGGGAAAGTGGGAGAAATTTACTAGAGAGAGCTGTCGGGAGCTGGTTTCAGTTGTGTTCGATCTTTAATGCGGAGCAGAGAGAGGGTCTCCTTGGAAACAGGGAAACGAATGGCTTGGCTTATCTTGGCTTGGCTTGGTTAAAATAGTTGGCAAGGACTTGTTTTTGGAACTTATATTGCATGAAGCTGGGGTAATTTTCTCGTTGACATTTCCGTTGGAGTTAGGAAGTCCCTATACTAACCGGTTATGAACTGAAAATGAATATTTAACGGTCTTATTTTTGTTTGTGAGACATGCGACTCTCTCTATGTATGCAACAAACTATCCAATTTTTAAGTCTATATGTACTTCAAGGAGCCCTAATGTTCAACCAATTATGGTTTTGGTTCTGTCTTTTAACTTTTACTTTCTTCCCAAGCCAGCAGAGGTGACCTCTAGCAGTTTCTGTTGTTCATTTCTTGTTAAATGCTGCATTATGCAAATATAAATGGCAACAGGCAAACAAGTGCAACTTCCTTGGGGCCCCTCTGTTTTTGCCTCCAAACAAGTGGATCGCTCTTTGAATCAAAAAGGGTAAAGAGAGTCAGAAGATTAGGCTGGCTGTATTCAGGGCCTCATATTGAAAGTTCCAAACCTGAAGCTTTTAATGTTTTCCCTTCCTCTTTTAGATTCTTGGCATAGGCAATCTGTATATTACATGATTGGGTCTTGATCTATTTGTTCTGACCTTGTGGGCACTGCAACAACTAAGATATTTATATATATATATATGTTCTTCTCAACATTTTATTTTTTCCCTATCTTTTTTCATATATATACATGTATATAGCTTTCTTCTCAGTATATAACTGATAATAATCAATAATCTATTACTAGTTCGTTAAGGTATTATTATACTATATTACTTGAATTTGAGATGACTGTCAAATTTGGATATGTATCTAACACGATAAATTCATTTTTTTTTGTTTTCTTATACATTTAAAGAGTGATATTATTTATATATTCATAAGGGTTGAGTATATGTTGAACATGAATTAAAGAAAATAAAAAGTTAGAGAAATATATAATAGCTATTATATTTTGTGACTATACTGAAATTAAGTGGAATTTACCAAATTGGTGCACGAATTTGATCTCCAATTGGGTAGTGAAGGAATGTTGAACTTTTTCTTTAATTATATTTATTTTTCTGTATTAAGCTTCAAGGAAGGAGCTAGTGAGCTGTAGTTGAAGAATCAATTATAGCCTGGCGGCTAGTTGGGAAAGGAGTCCCATTGACAGCTGGGTGTTGAGAAGAATCATCATAAGCACATGCTGGGTTTGGTTGAATTGAAAGACTTTTAGTCAACTTTTTTGGGTCGGCTACCAATCCAGCTAAGGAAATGCCTTTCGCTTTTCTTAACCCATGTTTGGCATTGATGTTCAGAACACGTCTAAGTAGATTCGTAACTCACAACTCCCACCCTCTCAGCTTCTTTCTCTAAGGCTGCAGCCAATTAGTCTTAACTTTTCATAACCCATGGACATTTCAATAAAAACTTTTAAAATTTTAAAAATAAATAAATATATTGATATGGAAATAAAATGTTAAATTTTGATTTTTTTTAGTACCATAAATTATTATATATCTTTTACTTACATACTTTGGGTCGATCAATTTTTTGTATTCTTGCTATTTTTTAATATTCTCAACTTTTTTTTCCCTTTAGAAATAGGTTAAATGTTCGTTTTAAAATCTACTTTTTTATTTAATGTTTATTTCTTGATACAATCCATCAATTCATTCAAATTAAGATATTTGATTTTATCCATTTTAAAAATGATGATGAAAATTATCAAATTACCATTAATTGAATTAAGGGATATAAATATATATATATATATATATATTAAGAATTACTTTCGAATAACAATGGTTAGAATGATTAAATGTATATGCTAACTTTGTTATCAATTTTCTTTAAATAGTTAAATTCAAAAGATTATATTTAATTTTGAACAAAATAATAAATTGAATCTTGAAAATGAGCATTTTCGTTAAAAAAAGCTTTAAGTCATTAGTTGATCAGTTTAACTTGTCAATCAACCAATCAGGGAAATACCAATATATTTTGTAACAATACTATCTTTTTGCTTGATTTATAAAATTGCTTAAAAACAAAATTTCGAAATTAACATAAAATACTTTTGAAAAACTAATTATTAAATTCAATTTTCTGATAACCCCAAAAAATGTGACTTTTCCTTTTTGGTCAATGGAATAGGGACTTTGCTCTTGAGCAAGACGTACACTGAATTCTAGCCGAACAAGGAAGAAGGGAAGGAAAGTCTACTTTGTATTTGGACCAAGGCCCAACGTCCGGCATCCATTAATGCTGCACATCGTGCCTATGATCCATCACCATGAAACCAAATAGAGAAACTTTTGAAAGTGGGTCGTCTGCCTCTTTGTCTCTAATGTGGTATTAATCCATTCACTCACTCAGCCATGTGCCCCCACTTTGGATAGCCAGCTTCACCTCCGTTTTCATCTTTGACGTTTCTTCAAACCGGGAAACAAAAGGGCATCTTTTATATGCATTTCGGTTGGTTTTTCCATTATTTAATTGGATAAAGGTCAATTGAGGAACCCCACTAAGATCTATTTTAGTACCCTTTTAACTTATCTTCAATTTAAAAGATAATACACACATAGTTAAGTAGTCAAGCCAATGGCTGCATCGAACTAAGCAGCCGACCATATACGACCAGCAAGATTATAAACTTATATGAGCCTAAACCCCAAAAGACAGATTAAGTTACATACCCAAGACCCCTTTGATATTTTATATTTCCATTTATCTGTTTTTAATTCTTTGTCGTACTAATCTTCATATGATCTTCACATCACATTCTAGTAAATGTTGTTGACAGATACCTTATACAAAACAGCAGAAAGAGGACGAATGGTAATTAAAATTTGGAGACGTGCAGTTTCAGTAAGCAGAGTTTAGATATTTCAGGAAGTTTCCCTAAGAGATATACGCCCTCTTGTTTTTTTATGCAATTCCGTGATCAACTTGCATAACTCCAAAGCTAAAAACGTGTTATAGAAATAGTGCCCGCTTGGAATCAGGTTCTACGTTTCTTGGCTCTGGGTGTTTATCAAGAAAAAGGGAAAATATTCTAAATAAAGAACTTCAGCTTTTGAGATGGTTGATCGCTTAACATGTTATCAGGGTTGCAGGTTTCGACCTGGAGTTCTGCAAATCTCATCCATGAATCAAATCTGTTTAGTGTAAATGAGAAGAAGATTGAAAAAACCATGGCAAGATGATTGACAATCTGTTTAGTGTATACTCCAATATACACAGATGAAAGGCTATTATACATGAACAAACTTTGTATCCCCAAGTACAGTACAGAGCCGCCAACTTTGATTAGGCCATGATGGATTTACAAGGCCAGCTAATCAAATTCCAATCAACAAGTAACTAAAATTTCTTTACCTCACCCTATGATCTGTACTTATTCTAAAACCAGAACATCAGAAAAGGCCAAAATTTATTCATTTCCCTTTCATATTCATTTTTTCACACCTTAGCCGGTGCCGGATTATCATCCTCCTCTTCTTCTTTATACGATACAAATTGATGCTTCCCAGCCCCGTGAACCCCGGAAAAAGCCGGTGAAGAAGAGGGAGAAGAATGACAAGAAGCTGCTGCCATGGCCAAGCATCCCTCACTCCATGCTCTCCTTATAGGATAAGACACGTTCTTGCATTTAGGGAATGCATGAGGACAATTCCCACGTGACTTGTCATGGAGGGCACAGCGGCAGTTCCGGTGGTACGGCCGGCGCTCGATGCCGATGTCGCAGCCGGCGATGCACCCTTCATAGAGCGGCCGGAAAAGTCCATCAGCAGCTCCTGTGGCCATGTTCCTTAATTAGCTAGCACAACCACAACCCCTTGTGCTTCTGGCAATGTGCGTAACCTTTCAATGTCATGGAACAACGGTGGCATTTATAGAAAGTAGTTATGGTGGTTATATAGATGGAAAAGACAAAGGCCTAATTTGTTGGCGAGCGGCATATGCGGCAATGGCGTGGGCCATCAGCGTTGTGGGAACCGTGTCTTGAGGGTCGGTCCATAGACTTTGCATATTTCCATGTTAGGTTTTTGGCCTCATTAATTTGTGTTGCGAGGAAACACAAGCAAAAATTTAGGAGAGAAAATTGCAGAATTGGGGAATTCACCGACAAGAAACTTCTTAGGTTGCCTCAAAATGGAGGCTTACTTGATTGACTAAAATTTTGTAACTCGGTATGGCATGATTCTATACGGATTATGCTGTTTCCATTGTTCAGTACATATAGCTCTTGTTACTTCTCGGTTAGTCCTAGGATATTGATAACATTTTTAGGGGATAAACCAAGAGAGCTTTGAAAGATTAATGTTAGGTCGTCGGAATGGGGACATTAGTTTTGGCATGAATTAATTGGACTGCTTCCTAGTCATCATTTCTGGCTAGGTCTTGGTGTAAACATGTGTATATTCATCTATTGATGTGCCTAAACCAACTGTTTTCAGGTTATGCTAGTGTTTGATAGTGCTCCTAACCTCTAAGCTACTATGATATTAAGATCTAACCATTTTATTTGTTCATTAATATAAGGCCATTGGATGGTTAATGAGTTATAAATATAACATCAAACGATTTTTTGATCATATATATTGTAAGAAGTTTTGCACATGTTTGTGATGTCAATATTCAAATTTTCGACTTGAAAATTTTGGGTTCAAATTGTAAGAGGAGAGGGATGGAGACTTATGGTATTGGAGAGCCATAGTCCAATAATATTTAATTACATGTACAATTTTAAAAAAAAATTAACACATCAACATAAGAATTTATAAATTTCAACATAGATTTTGTGTTTGAATTCATTTTCAAGAGTTTATGGGATGAAAAATTGAAATCTTCATTCTTCAACTATGAAGCTATAAAGAAGATATCTCCTATTAGGATAACTTCATCATAACCCAAACCCAACTAAGCTGGCTTAATTATAATGACAGCTAAACAAGATATAGAGGCGACCTATATGGTATTGATGCTTTTATAAGTAAGATTTTTTTAATTATTACATATTGACATGTTCAAAGGGCATACTATTATTCTGCAAAAACCTGGCCAGAAATAAGTAGTTAAACTGCAGTACTGGACTTTAATTAATTCTAGAACAATAATGGAGTAAAAGATGAAACATTGTCAAGTTTAATTGTATCAGCCAAACATCCTGGAAGGAGGAGCACTGCAGATAATAC